TGAACCATCTGATTATGAATCACCCGCATTCCACATGCAGTGAGCAAACGTAGCTGCTCAGACGTGGTATTGAGTCTGTTAACAACAAAGCCATGATCATTTTCTTGCTGTATGGCCATATGTCATACCCTGCAGTCTTTGTGGATGGTAAGTAAAGCATCACACAATCATCTAGAGGAAAGCTAGCTGAAAATGTATAATTCTTTCCTAATAATATGATGCTACTAGACAACTGACTAATGTTGAACTGGTAACTCACTCTAAACTGGTCTAGTATTCTTCTAATGTGATGTTTAATGACAACCGTTTGTTTGAGTCCTTGCTGTGAGAACTTTTTGTCCCCTTTTGTCCATCAGATCCATAACCGCTACGAAGGCAAAGATATTTCTAACCACAAGAGGAACCTGGTGATCGCTGGTGGGGTGACGCTCTCCGTCATTGTGTCACCAGTGGTAGCTGCAGTCACCGTCGGTCAGTCTGTTCTCTAATCCCTGCGAGCTCCTTCCTGTGTCTCTTGTGTCTCTGCCTCTGCTGTAACTCTCTGCATACCTGCAGATCTTTATTGACATTGTTTGCCTTTGGTGTTCACATTATGCAAAAGTTTGTTTCCAAAGTCAATTGGATGTCTCAAGAGTTGCACATAAGGATGGTCAAGTTGAGGTATGGTGTAATCTTTCCCTGTCTCTTTTTCACCCTTCAGGCATCGGCGTTCCCATCATGCTAGCGTATGTCTATGGTGTGGTGCCCATCTCTCTGTGCCGTAGCGGAGGTTGTGGCGTCTCAGCCGGGAATGGCAAAGGAGTTCGCATAGAATTTGATGATGAAAATGACATGAATGTTGGCAGTGGGGCAGCTGCCACTGGTAAGCTTTAGTACCCCCACAGACCCCTGACCACACATCCAAAATCCCCCTTTTGTGCTCATGTCCAAGTCAGCAAACATCACAGTTTGGTTTTTGCTCACTACAGAGTTCTGATTTAAATTAAATCTATTGCAAGTTTCTCAAATGTCATTTAGTCTTGCATTTTTTATTTCACTGAAAATCAATGTTTTTTTGTGCATCTTTTTGTGCAACAAGTTCAGAATTTTGGACTTTCACCAAAAGCGTATGACAGTTTTATCCCTTTTTGTCTATTCCTAATGTTATTTCATGCTTGTATCGTCTCTGTAGACACTACATCAGTGGCAGACACAAGGAATAACCCCAGTATAGGTGAGGGCAGTGTTGGGGGGTTGACGGGCAGCTTGAGTGCCAGTGGCAGCCACATGGACCGTCTTGGCGCCATCAGGGACAACCTGAGTGAGACGGCCTCCACCATGGCCTTGGCTGGAGCGAGCATCACTGGCAGCCTATCAGGCAGTGCTATGGTCAACTACCTGAACAGGTGCTTAAACAGAAACATGTGCCCCCCCCACCACACACACACACACACACACACATTATTAATTATAATAATTATTAATCTCCCCCCTCACATGTTGTCAGGCTGGAGGTGCAGGCTGATGTGCAGAAGGAACGCTGCAGTCTCAGTGGTGAATCTGGCACCGTCAGCCTGGGTACAATCAGTGACAATGCTAGCACCAAAGCAATGGCTGGATCCATTCTCAACACCTACATGCCCCTAGACAGGTGAGCATGATTCTCTTTTTATTTGATAGCTCAAAGTCTGTTCATTGGCAGCACTGATGTTGTTCTGTGAAGCTGGAGTCCCACCAGAAATCCTTTAAAACAGATTGTAGGTGTACAAACATTATTTGTATGTGATGCAATAGTGTCATTTCCATTATGTTTTCTATAAAGAGTACCAGGTTTGAACCCAATGTTTTCACTATTGATGAAGGATCAGGGTTTTAATCATTATCCCTAAAATATGTTTTAACAAAGCTCCTGTCTCTGAGTGTCAGTGTATAGTGTTCTCTTTTCTGTGATTGTTATTGAAACAAAAACCTTCATTGAACATAACCAGCATTTGTTATTTACTTAGCAAGTATTTAGTATAAAGCATGTTGGCAAATGTCAGCAGTTGCACACTTGAGAAGTATGACAGCTTTCTGGGGCTTATTGCTTAATCACGTGACATGTACAAAGATGTACACGCTCACGCACAAACAGTTTTTTATTACCTTACTTTTTGTCTCCATACTTTTCTAGAGATGGGAACAGTATGGAGGTCCAGGTTGACATTGAATCCAAACCCAGCAAACGACGGCACCACAGCGGCAGCAGCAGCGTTGATGACGGTAGCCACGTTGGCCGCTGTGGCTGGACCTGCCCCTCTAATGGCTGCACCTCCTCAGAAGGCAAAGGAACCTCCACCAAGTGTGCCAAAGAAGCCTCTTGCTGCTCCTCCACCAGCTGCGGGGGCAAAAAGAGTAAAGGCAAGCTACGCAAGAAAGGCTGCGGAGGCACAAAGATCAACGAGACACGGGAGGACATGGATGCTCAGCTGCTGGAGCAGCGCAGCACCAACTCCTCTGAGTTCGACTCTCCTTCATTGAGCGGCAGCCTGCCCTCGGTGGCTGACTCCCACTCAAGCCACTTCTCTGAGTTCAGTTGCTCCGATCTGGAAAGCATGAAGACGTCCTGTAGTCACGGCTCCGGTGGAGGCGACTACCACACGCGCTTTGCCACCGTCAGCCCCTTACCTGAGGTGGAGAACGACCGTCTGGAGACCTGCCCCACTTCTTCATCATTCTCATCCCAGGAACATGGAGCTGTGATCACCCCCCACTCCCCCACATCCACCTCCTCTTCCCTGGGCCACGGTGCAGAGCTCTCGCCCCTCTGCTTCATCACAGAAGAGAATGTGAACCTGGTTTGTCCGGCTGAGCTGGACAGCAAAACTGGAGAGCAGCTTAAAGAAACCAACAACAACAACCAACACCGACCGCAACAAACCCAACAGCAGCCCAAGAGCTCCTGTATACAGACTGAAATCTAAAATCTCAATACCTTAAGTGCTGCACAGATGCTGTTTTTATTCAACATCCTGTCCTCCACTAAATTAACAATCAGCTTACACTTCAGCCTGCATTTTCTGTTACTCCCTTGTAAAGGGAACATGTTATTTTGGGATTTGTGTCCTTCATGAAAACCAACATTTTAGTAATAACAACTCTGTGTCCACTAAGTGTTGAAAGGCTCTCTGGAAGTATTAGAAGGTTACCAAAGTGCAGCCACGTGAGAAGTGTTAAGGTTGTGAATGCTGGTGTTTCTCTCTGTGTGGCTCAAAACTCGCCACTTGTAACAGAAGACCACACACTCATTTAGATCTGTGTAGGTTGATAAAACCACTGTGCCAGTTTTGCAACTATTTGAAGCTGGCTTTTTAATGCAGATGCAACACCATGCAGGAATCTTAACGTCTCAGTTCTCCAGGTTTACTCCAACAGGGACCAGACAATATGACTCACTAGTTCTTTTTATTTTTTCCAAAATGTATAAGATGCAGAGGAGCCTTTGTGCTTCTGTCTGTATTTATTATTAAACTTTCTTTCTCCCCTGGATGATAGATCAAACATCAAATGTATAATTTTAAGGCCGGAGCTCAACATTATTAAACATTTTAGCACTAAAAGGACCCGTAACACACCCAGTGTTATCTTTAGATGGATGCACAGATGGCTGTAGACCCATTATGGGAAATGGTGCTTGGCAGCCTGGTATCCACTGAGATTTGACCTGTAGCCTGAAAACCCTCATATGTGCTTTTAGTGCTAAGATGACTCTGGGAGCTCTGGCTTTGTTTAGTTCTGTGAAAAGCTTTTGATGATATGTTGGGGGGTGCGTGAGGGTTGATTGGAGAGAAGGTCTCTGGAAGGCCACAGTTTTCAAGATATTATATTAACATTAACCAATGGGTTGGTCAGTTCTGCAAATTTAAATGATTTTTTTTTGTACTTTTCAGAGGTGGTTTATTCAAGCTGATGGTCTCGCCTCACTGAGTAAGAGAGAGCTTCGATATCTTTCTTTGTAAACTCATGGTGCCTTTAAGAAGTTGTTTGTGTTGTTTGTCTCTCTCTCTCTCTCTCTCTCCACTGTGTCTTCAAGACTCCAAACAGCAACTTATTGTAGGTCACAGAATGTCTGTCTGTGTAGAGGGTATGCATTTACATACAGAACATACTGTGGTAGACATGGTAAATGAAAACTTTTCAATTGCCTACCAAAGACAGCACTCAGGCTCTTGTTAAATCTCATACCTTTGACTTGTCAGCTGTAAACACAGTGTGGTGCATCCTTGACACCAGGAGACGAATGAAGACAAGACCCGGGATTATACCGACATGCAGAACGCTGTTTCATACACGCTTCACTAATGCTACGCAAATAACTGAGGCTGCACGACAGCCGAAGGCACCTGCACTGTTATCTCTATTTCTTATTACATTGATATTCTGCAATGCACAAGGTTGATAGGGATACATAGTTTTGTTTCGGGTTATCTTCCCTACTGATTTTCCTGTGATTCCTGTTGACAATCGGTGCTGCTGAGCAGACTTGAAGTCAAAATCTGTTTCCAGCACTTTTCTCTCTTACAGAGTGTTTTGCTGATGCCTGTCATTACAGCTCAGTGGTCGGCTCTATTGGGGCCACTGAGTTATATCAGGTGAACATCTACCAGGTAGGTAAAAGCAGCCTGAATGGTATTTTGACCCTGGTCTGTTACTGAATGAGCATTCAATTTGGTTGGGTGGACAAGGCTACAATCTGCAGTCCTCCCTGAATCCATACAATATGTTATTTTCTTCTTCAACCCTGGTTCTGTTTTTCATTCTTCATCGAAACAAAAACCTGTTCTTGATCCTAATTTGTACATGAGTGCCAGATATAATTTGTAATTTGTGCAGAATGGCTTACGGTAATTGTACATTTGTTTGGTAATTTGCTTTACTATATGCGTGTAAAAGCATATCAGAAAAATAAAGAAAATGATATATATGTTTTGTCCTGTTTTTCAGGTTAATAGGGTGGAGGTGCAGGCTATTAATTATACATATTTACAGTATTCCATCTTTAATAGTTATAACTTTGAAATATTTGAACTCAGCATAAGGAAGAAAATCTGTTTCCAGTTTATTGAATAGCCCTCTGTTAATATTGTACACATTTTTACATCACTACTAAAATATAATTTAAAACCACAATGAGGAGAAAGTGGAATGTGTAATTATTGCCTGTTGCCCGCTGACTCATCAGCATGAAATAAATTTGGTACATAAAGGTACAGCAGATAGACAATCGAAAACAAAAATTAGGCAGTCATCAATTTGAATGACTCAAATATTGAACAGTTAACATTAAGATGGATAGAACGAAGAGTGGCTTAAAAAGAACAAATGACACATTTTAAACCAATGCATACATGCGGTGAGTAAATATGAATAATTTCTGATGCAAATCCATTTGATAACTCACTGAATGACATTACTCTTATTAGGAATATTTGCACACTCACTAAAATGTAAGCAACCCACAATGTGAAATCCAAGGCACGCATCTTATTAAGATGCTGCTTCTCTCCAGTGTGTGCACTTCTGCATGGCTAAACTGCTGTGAGAGTGTCCAGATGTGCAATTCCTGGCAGGCTAATTTGGTAACAAACAGCAGGAATGACTCTGTTGTAATATTTTCATTATGGAAAAGACACAAACACCAGACTCTTAAATGAAATTTGACATCAGAGCCCAGAGATGCTGAGTGCATCGCTGAGTAAACCAAAGAGTGCCTGGGTCATGTAAGGTTACAAACTGTATTTGCTCCCTCAGTGCTGTCAGTTGATACCTGTCAAAGAGATACAGTGCAGATCAGCAGTAAGATGACATACAAGACTATTTCTTCCTCAAAGATAATACAATCCATATGGTCTTAATCAAACGTTTCTCTATCTTATGGTTCTGTCCTGCTGCGTAGAACATTTACTTAAAGGTCCAGTGTGTAAGATTTAGGTGAAAGATCTAGTTGCAGAAATGTAATGTAAAAAAAATCCTCATGATGTTTTCAGTAGGTCGTTTCATCTAAATTGTATGAATTTGTAGATTTCATTACCCTAGAAAGGCCCTTTATATTTAAATACTTTATATTTATATGGAGGGGGGTCCTCTCTATGGAGGCCGCCATGTTTTTTACATTAGTCCAGACTGGACAAACTAAACATCTTTTGAGTTTTTATGACAACTGAAGCTGCCACAGTTTCTTTTTCATGTTTGGGAAGAGAGGGTGAGGTGAGGGGTGTTCAGCTGCAACATGTAACTTCAACACTAGATATCACTAAATTCTACACACTGTACCTTTAACTATCTCAGTAGCAAATGACCTCACTTGTTAATTTGTTTTGTATTTCTGAGACTTTGTGATCTAGGTTAGTGGCGGCAGCTCAGTTTCTTTTTCACTGATATCAGTAGACTGACAGGGTTCAAGGACCAGATCACAGCTAAACCAGTTCTGGTTATGTGACCTTGTCCAGAGCGTAAGTTTACAGCTTGTAGCGTTACACAATTTTGTACATTGGAACCTACTTATTTAAGTCAAAGACCCATAGTATCCTGATGTCTGCCTGTGGTACAATAAGAGTCAGTGGTGGTACGAAAGTAAAATCTGCATAGCAAAACGTTTCCAGAAAGAGCAATTCCTTATCCTGTCATTTAAACATATGGTGATCATTTAAAGAACAGATCAGTGGAGTGAATGCGACCCAGTGCCATTGAATTGCTCTGGGGAAACATTCTACAGCTTCCTGCCTTTGTTTACTCAGTTCTTGTGCAGTGGTTTGCATAGATCGTAGAGTTGTAGTGGTGCAGCAGCTCATGCAGCAGGGGCAAGGAGGGTCAGATATATTTGTTGGCTAAGTTCTGAACATCGTTCTTAGTGAAATCTGTGCTCTCGATAGCCGACAGATGCTCGAACAGATGGGTGATGTGGTGACGCTCGTCCTTCTCCAACAGCATCAGAACAATCTGCAGAAACAGCACATCATCATTTATCACAAAAACCTCAGCTGCTGGAAACACTTTGGACAGATCACTCAGGACAATTACACATTTATAAGAAGTAGCAGTCACTGTGCGGTAACAGAAAAAAAAATATCAGCTTACAGATTGTAATTTTTTGGGGGTCATAAAAGCGTGTTCCGATGGAGAGAAACTTACCGAGAACCTGTCAGTGGTGTGCAGATGGTTGAGGTGTTGGAAGACCAGACTGGGGTCCGTCTCCAGGAGGTGGGAGTCCAGCACCTGTATGATGAAGCTGAGGGTGTGTCCGTCCAGCTGGGTGCTCAGGTACTCAGGAAGCATCTGCGGGGCTGTGGAAGTCAGCAAGTCAGCACAGGCCGCAGTATTTCCGCTACAGCGAGCTGCATTCAGAGCCTGGCCGAACTCGTAGACGTTGGTTGGATGAATGTTGATGCTGATGTCTTCTCCTCTGCAGCTGCTCTCCGAGGTAGGAATGGATGTCACCTCCTCATCACCTTCAACCTGAGAAAGATCAACAAAAGAAAGACTTAAGTTGTGTGGAAGTTTTAAACTTTGAGGTGCTGCCTTTGTGGGCATGTAATGCAATGAGAGAGATGGAAAAAAAGAATCCAGGTATGATCCCAACACCTAATTCACATTCTTTTTTATAAATTAGTCGGTTGGGCCACGATGATCCACTCTGTGATGTACTGTGGTCTTTCTCTACTGTGGAGGTGAAACAAAGGATGGAATCCTGCTCATTGTTTGCATAGTGTTCAGTTTCTAGGAGTTGGTGCATGTGCATCAAGTCTATGGCTCCAACAAATACAGCTGTGATATAAACACTGTGTGCCACTCCTTAACTTCGTACCTCTGCTCTTTGGTGTGGGGCAGGTAGTGTGCAGGCTTGTCTGGGCTTGAAATATTTCCAACACAATCATTAGTGGAGGGTGAAGAGAGGGAGGAGACTCCATTATAGTTTCTCTATGTGCTTAGAAAATTATAACTATGATCTCTAAAGCAGCTTTCAGACATGCACTGAATTCTGGAGATCCTCTGGAGGGGCTGCTTGAGTGAATGCAAATGTACATACGGGTGAAAGTCTGGACCCAATTCTCAAATGCTGTGATGGTTGAAGGAGTGAGAACTGAAATGGTACATTCTATGTCTGTATGACACGTAGGAAATTTTTTTGCAGTGGATGCATGTGTTCTGTAGTTCATACCATGGCCATTACACTGGACCATAAACCCCATGAAGCCCAGCACTGACCGACAACCCGAGTCAGGCTCTGTCGATCAATATGTAGCCTTATATTGAGCGAGAGGTGGGGAACTGAACAGGCTGTCACATAGAGACAAACAACCACTCTTCAAGTCATAGTCATAGTACATGGAGGGCGCAACCATGCTGCCCCACTGGCAAACACATCCAGCAGAGGGGGAAAAAGACAATATGCTCTTTCCATGTGAACGCTGTACCCTGGTTAAAATATGCATCCACAGTGCATGTGTGTATACCTCTGTAATGGGGACGGTCTTTCTGGACTTGGCTTGTGAGTCGAGGGCCAGACTCTGTCTGAGCAGCACTGTGACTTCCTCCAGCTCCCTCTCAGCCTCCTGCAGGTTGGGGTCCTGCTGCAGCACCTCCTGCAGGTCAGAGGTGCATGCCAGGTAGTCCTGTTTGATGCAGAGACAAAGTATAGCTTTACACATGATCAAGCGGGTTTAACGATTTTAACAAGTTAAATTGAATGTATGGATTAACCTCCAACACTCCCACCCAAATGAACACATCACCTTATGACATTAATAGACATGTCTGTTCAATCTGTTCACCTTGAGGCCTTTATTGGCCAGGGCTCTTCTGTAGAAGGCTTTCTTATTGGTCGGCTCTAGTTTCAGTGCTGCGTCACAGTCCTGCTTGGCTTCAGTAAACCTCTCCAGCTTCAGGTAGCACAGGGCTCTACACACACACACACACACACACACAC